GTCAGTGCATTGAAAAATATTTAAAAAGTAGAAAAAAAAATTTTGATGAAGAAATCTGACGTTCAAAAATTTTGGTATTTTCCCCGTTGCCAAGGGAAGGCGGGGGCTAATCAAACAATTTGCTTCTTCGTGATGCAGAAAAGATAAGTGGTTTGGATGGCTTCTATAAAGGAGAATAAACCCTGTTTGTTGTGACTATTCCTGTGATGGGAGATAAAGGGCAGTGTGAAGGGTGAGAAAATGAACAATGATACTTAGGTAACTCGAACATAATGCTGCATCCTTTATTTTAAAAAGAGAGAAAAGGGAAAAAAGAAAATATATCCTGAGAATTTTTAAATGTTCTTTTATTTGAGAAAATCTGCCATAGATAGAAGGAAGGAAAAACACTTGTTCAGCATTTAGGACTCCTGAAGTCCAGTTACACCGCGATGGCTTTTATCTGCATGCTGTGAAAGAGTGGGTTTACCTGTGTAGGTAGGTTTGCCGGGTGGACATGCAAGGTCTTCAGTGAGGGGATGTTCTAGCTAGGTGTCCTCCTTACCCTGAGTAGCCTTCTAAACCCTGGTCCCTGAAGTAGGAAATTGAGGCCTCGCCCCCTGCCCTTAATTTGCTATTTAGAACCATCACAACCCACTCTCTCTGTCTATTTCCGTTTTCTTGAACATCTGGAGGCAGTTGTAACAGCACAGAGGTTAGGAGCACAGGCTCCAGAGCTCCTCTGCAGGGGTTTACAACTCAGCTCCTCCACTTATCTTAACCTTTCTATGCCTCAGTTTCCTCATCTGTGAAATGGGAGGTGTTTTGCAGGTTGTTGTGAGGCTTAGATGAGTTCATACAAGTAAAGCGTTAGATGTGTGCCTGGCACATAGTAAGAACCCAATAAATGGAAGCTATTATTCTTACTTCCCTAGAAACGTAAGAACAAGGATGATGAAAATAAATGAAAAGCATAAAGTCCCCTGAACAGAGAGATGCACGCACCTTGATCTTCCGTAGCTTCTTGTCTATGCTAAATTATTTAACAGATGACTTACGATGAGTGTGGTGCTGTGCTGTGCATGGGAGCTAAGCCATTTTAAGATGATTCCTATTCCCAGGGGTTTAGAGCTAGGTGGATATGAAAGACAGCACACACAAAGCCCATCTGTTGCCATGCAGGGCAGTGTGTGGGACCAAGTGCCCACATGAGGATAAGGAGTGTATGTGGAATGGGATCCTAAAAAGTTGCTACAAAACAGTCATTTATGTAGAAGTCTCCAGAATTATTTCAAGACTGATCTTTCAGACTAATTTCTGGCATCCAATCACAAGCTGTGAATGTTTGGTTTTTGAAAAGGGAAAAGGAAATTCTTAAGCCCCCAGAACAGAACCTCTTTTCTGTACTGCTGTAATAATATGTGATTATGTCTCTCCTAATAATTTATCTCATTGTTTGTGATAATTTGCTGATGCATTAGTCTCCAGTACCAGGCCTGGAGAGGCAGACACAGTGTGTTATTTATCTTTATATCCCCAGCCCTGAGCACAGGGCCTGCACGTAGTAGGCCTTTAGTAAAGGTTGGCTGAAGGAATTAATGACTGCTGAGTGCATTTTCAGCATATCTAACATCGAATGCCACCAAATTCCCTGTTTCAGATGTAGGGTATATTATTTGTTCAGGCTTTCTAAATACCAGTCTTTTTTTAAAACCCCTCCTTTGCCTACATACAAACAGTCTCCACATCTTACTGATTCTTCTTTTACTTCCATTTACTCCCATCCACATCACTGTCTCCATCACCCCACGTCAGATACGCCTCATTTTATTTCTGGGTAGTTACAACAAACACGACGTGTTCCTTCCGCATTCACGCCTTTGTTCCAGCTCTCCTTCCTGCTTTGAATGTTCTGACACCCCTCTCTGTCTGTCCAAACCCACGTAACCTCCAGGATCAACCATCTTTTCTTGCTCCTGGTTGAAGTATCCCTCTCTGCTCTAAATTCTGGTAGCCTGGCTTTTTTCTCCCTTCTGTTAAGAGCTTTCGTTTATTGCTGTGCCTCACTATGCTAGTACATCTAGTCCCTACAACATTCTTGTGAGAACTCTGATAGTGTCCCCAGTTTACGGATGGGAAAAATGAGGCTCACTAACCTTAATGAACTTGTCTTGTTCTTTAACAGGGAGAATGGAGGAGAGGATAATTGAGTAGAAAAAGAGCACTAAACCATTCTTTTTTTTTAATGGAAGAAAGTGCACGGTAGCATGGAGAATGAAGCAAAAGTCAACAGGTCTGCTAAATGTACATAAATGTCCATTGATTTCTCATTTTTAAGTAAATTAAAGTTGAGTTTGAAGAAAATTGTGAGAATTTTTCTCTTTTCTTACACAGATTGTCCCAGCACTCCAGAAATCTGTAGGCTTAAAAAAAAAAAACTAGGTAATTATTAAAATACTCAATACAATAATGATGCTAGAATAGCCAATGTCTGTGTAAAAACACTAGTCAATTTCAGTGGAACCTCGTGACCAAGGCATGAAAAAGGGAAAAAGGCTGTTAACGAGTTACCAAAGGCCGTGCTCCATTTCCAGAGACCTCTGAAAATAAAGAAAATGTCCAAGTGTCTGCTGGAGTTAAGGACCCAGAGACGGGACTTGAATAGTGAGCTCTGTCAACCTGCTGGTCCTTCCTTTCTGAGGATTCAATGGGAGTTTGCAGAAACTTGTTCAAAGTTGGCTCCTAAACCAGGAGTGATGCAGGATGGTGTGGATGCTGGTAATATGTGCCAGCATACCGTTATGACTGAAATAAAACTTGAAGAATATGTATAGTTCTCTAGCTGGAAGAAATTCAAGAGATTATTTAATTCAAACCTTTCATTTTATACCTGAGGCAACCCAGAGAAGTTAAGTGATTTGCCAAAGGACACAAAGCTTCTGATTTATAACCATAAAACCCACCACGAGACTTTTCCTTTGTTTGACATTAATGTAACTGTTCCAGTCAGGGCCATGCGATGTTAATGTAACGCTTTAGTCACGTTAATATATCAAGTCCAGCCTAATTGCTGGTGTGAAGTGACGCAAGCAGGTTCAGTCAAAAACCAATGTTTTCTCACTTTCCCGGTGCACACGCTGGGCCTCCTTCACATTGGAATGGGGGCGTGGATCAGAATGCCAGTGGAGCCCGGGATGCGCCATGCTCTCTCTCTTGCTCTCTCTCACGTTCACACTCTTTCGCCCTGTCTCAGGGCCGCGTGCACAGAACCCTCTCCTCTCTTTGCGTGGGCTGTGTCATCTGTAGCTTAGCCAGCTATCTCCTTCCCCAAACAAAACATGTCTGAGCCCTTCCTTTGTATCAAACTCCATGCTAAGAGCTAAGTGCTTATTATTTATTACCTCATCGAGACTTCACAAGAACTTTGGGAGGCAGGTACAAGAATTACAGTGATCCTCATTCTGTAGATGAGGTTACAGAGGTAGTCGGTGGGAAAGCTGTGGTGAGAGACCATGTCTACCACAGTCTGAACTCTGTGACCTTCGGCAAGTTATATAAACACTGAGACTCAGTTTCCTCACCTGTAAAATGGGATAATAATAGTTGGGACCTCATAGTGTTGTATTAATGAGGTAACTTACTAACTGGTTGACTAGCTTTGTGGAGAGTGGCATGGGGCGTGCTGCCGGCTCAGTGGAGGCTGTGGGTGTGGCAGGCAATGAGGGTCATGTCTAGGATGAGGCGTCCTCCTCGTTTCTTTGACCAATCAGTCATGGTGAGGAGGGTTGTCATATGGTATATAAGGGCTCTTCCAAGGGCTGAAATCTGGGCAGATTCTCTAGAGCAGTGTTTCCAGGCCTTAATGTGCCTATGAATCCTCTGGGGAGCTTGTTAAAATGCAGAAACCAACTCAGTGTATCTGCAATGGGGCCTTGAGCTTTTGCATTTCCAACCAGCTCCTAGGTGATGCTGATGCTACTGGTCCATGGACCACAGTTTGAATAGTGAGAGTCTATAAGGGGTTGTAGTCAGGGCATGTAGTAAAAAGAAATCAATACATTCCTTTTATTCTAGAATGTTCTCCATTCTTCACTGCCAGGAAAAATTCTGCTCACAGATGCAGTTCCCATGTAACCTCTATGAAACTTTTTTGGGCTCTTATAGAGTTAATCTCATGTAACTCCTTTATGATAAATGACTTATCATTTGCCTAATAGTTACTTGGGTATATTTGTCACCTCCATTTTTTTTATTGTATTTTTTCATTTATGTACAGTAAAATTCACTTTTTGGTGCACAGTCTATGAGTTTTGACAAGCTCATACAGTTGTGTAACTACCACCACAATAGATCCAGAACAGTTCCATCACCCCAAAAATTCCCTCAAGTGCCCTTTGTAGTCACTCCTCCCCACAACCCCTGCCCCCAACAACCACTGACCTATTTCTGTTCCTATAATTTTGCCTTTTTCAGAATGTTATACAAATGGAATCATACACTATGTAAACTTTGGAATCTCCTCCATTTTGCTGTATTTATGGATTTGGGATAGCATCTAATGCATCTTTGTTTTTGCCCAAATAAATGCCTAGCACAAAGTTGGTGTTCAGATACTCGTATTGATAACTCTTATTGTAGTAGGTCAAATGTCCTTTCAGAAGCCTGCCATCTTTATCAATAAATCCCTGATGGGATGGTGCCTCTAGAAGCTTGGTGGTTTTATTGGTTTTGTAGTGATTTCCTAATTTGGCTGGTCTCAAGAATCTCCTGGGGTTACTACAGATTTCCAGGACTCTCTCCTGCAGATTCTGATTTCACAGGTCTAGAGAGAGGCCTGGGGAATCTCTACCAGTGCTTCTCAAATTTTGCTTGTATCAGAATCACCTGGCATGCTCGTTAAAGCACAGATTGCTAGATCCCACTCCCAGAGTTTCTGATTTGGTAGGTCTGGAGTGGGGTCCAGGAACATGCACTTCTAAGTGCTTCCAGGTGATGCTGATGGCGTGCTCTCTTTGAGAACCACTCGTCTACAGGCTCTGTGAGATGATCAGATGTCTCAGGTGATTCTTATATTTATCCAAATTTGTGAAATCCAGCTTTAGTGCAATTCACTGGAGGAGTGTGCTGTGGTACTTTTTTGTACCAAACATTGCTCTCTGGCCATGGCATCAGTCCCACTTCACCAGGGATAACTTGTTCAGCCCACATTGCCTCAGAAGCAGAGAATGCTGAGATTTGATTCAGTCATTTTCCCCTTGGCAGGCAGACCAAGATGAAGGCATCCGGCTCCTGCTGAGGGTGCCGGTGCCAGTCGTGTGCAAAACCAGTTCCAGGTCTTTCTAGTTCTTCACGCGAGTTTGGACAAGGTTGATGTGGAAACTGTGTGAGAATGTGTATGTGGTCTTAGAGACAATCAGTGCGATTAAGGCTGGACTTAGACACGGAGCGAAAGTTCCTATGAATGCTGAGGATTAGCGGTAACAGCTGGTATCCTGCCCATTAGAGGAGAGACTGAAGGCAGAAGAAAAGACTTATTTAAAGGATGTGTCTCTGCAGCCCTGAGGGGGGATGCCGTTCCATCAAGCCTGAAGGCAAGTGTGCTCTGAGGTAAGTGGATGTTTTTCTGGGTTCAGGTAGACAAGGTGCTGGTGGGAAAGAAGGGGAGGGGTGGGATTTGCTGTGGCCATGGTCTGTGGGATGTGGCACTCACCCCCTTCCTCTGTAGGCATCTGTGTTTGATCTGCCTTTGGAGAGAGGAGACCACCTTCTGCCGTCAACAAGGGCTCGAGGGGCATTTTCTCTGTGGCCCTTCTGAAACAACGTGGGAAGGGCCCTGGGTCCCCGAAACTGAAAATATGCCTTTATAGCCCTCGTTCATTATCTCCTAATGTGTCTGGGAAGCTGTAGGAGTGCTCCCTTGTGGGGTAGAGGTTTTTGACTCAGTGTCTCATGGAAAGCAAACCTAGCAGAGAAAAGTATTATCTGAAAGACTCGGAAGATAAATCTAAGAGACCCAAGTTATGTTTTGTGTCTCCCTGTGTCTGGTCAGTGTAGAGAGTGGTGGTGTGTGAAGATAGGATGGGAGTATGGATTAGCTCCTCAGCCTACTGCTTTTATAGCTAGTTTCACTAAATTTTTACATTTTATTTTTACCTTTTAAAACCAGCTTATTAGAATGGAAGGCTGTTGTTGCCTTGCATCGCTCCTTAGATCAAAGTATTAGCAGAACTTTTAAAATACCTGTGCGTAGGACTATAAAAACAAACAATTTTTTAAAAATGCCTGACAGTCCTGAATATTTATTCAGAGAGCTTTTCCACCCGTCTTATTTGCTCTCTCTCTCATTTTATTTTCATCTGTGAACTTCTATACACAGTCAACTTTTAATTCTTTCTGTTGATGGGCATTAGAGGTGGCAAACAAAAATGAAATTTATTCTATAAATGTTATTTTATCCAATCATTTTATTCTATTCCTGAGCCAGTTTTTTTTCTAGTATATTTAACAAGGTATAGAAGGGATTGGCTTGGGTATAACTTTCTCTGTTCATCTTCTCTGTGAAAAAGTAGTGAAATAACTAAAAACAGTCCACAGGAGAAAGGGCAAGGAGCTATCAAAGCATTGCAGATTTAACAATCACATTGAAATAATTGATAGTCGGCAGAAGTTTTGTAGCATTTAACCCTGGAATTTGCAACTGCAGCGATAATACGCTAACCCAAGCTGCCATGTGCCGAGCTGCCTGGCCAAACGGGAATATTGGGGTCTCACTTCAGCAATAATATTTTATAGCTCACACTGCCCTTGGTATTGGCTTGTAAGGAGTTCACTGTAGGATACAAACATTTTCTGGTCTTATTTCCTTGACTTAATTATTAAATTCTCTCTTTAAAAAGAAGCAGCCTGGGGGCCGGCCCGGTGGCGCAAGCGGTTAAGTGCGCGGTTAAGTGCGCGCGCTCCGCTGCGGCGGCCCAGGGTTCGCTGGTTCGGATCCCGGGCGCGCACCGACGCACTGCTTGGCAAGCCATGCTGTGGCGGCGTCCCATATAAAGTGGAGGAAGATGGGCACAGATGTTAGCCCAGGGCCAGTCTTCCTCAGCAAAAAAAAAAAAAAAAAAAGAGGATGATTGGCGGATGTTAGCACAAGGCTGATCTCCTCACAAAACAAACAAACAAACAAAAAGAAGCAGCCTGGTCTTATGAGAAAATTACAAGAGAGGGTTAAAACACAAAGGGTTTAGAAGTGAAACACTTCCTGCAGCCTGGCATGTCTTTTTGATCTTGACCTTGAGCGCTTGTGGTCTGGGGAGGCAGCACCAACCATCTCGGGTTTTAGGCAGTGTGGACTCAGGTCAGTCACATTCAAAAAGACGTCATATCCTTTTCTTAAGTAGCGTCTGGATTGAAGCTGTCGTTTCTTATGACACAGGAAAGGGCAGGATGAGGGTCCCCGCCGCTCTCGCGGGCTGGGCTTGTGCCACCCTCTGCCTGGCTTCCTGCTCGTCTGCCTTTTCCCATGGTGCCGGCGTGGCGGCCTGTGAGCACATGCAGCCCACGCACATTCGAGCCCAGCCTCAGGACCCCGGGACCCACCACATCACCATTCACACCAGCAGCTCTTCCTACTCACCGGGTGACACAGTTCCAGGTACGTAGGGGAGAGGCTTTGAGACCCCGAGCAGCCCCAGGGCCCTAGTGACAAATCCCAAGTCATGTTTGTCCCAGGCAGGAGTTTCCTGGGCTAAAGTTTGGCTTAATCCTAAGAAGCAATTATGTGGTCAGAAATAAGCATAAAGTACTTATGTCATGTAAACCACCTAACTAATCTCTATATTCACATTAATCTTTATAAGAGAAGAGGGCACAAATGGCATTATTATAAAAAATTATTTTGTCCTTATTATAAGATAAAAATATAGTTACCCTGAACAAACTTCATGTATCGTGTGTGTGTGTGAGAAATAGACTTTTTTCCTCATTATTTAAAACTCAAATTGTTTGGAGAGTGAAAAGAGCATTTCCTGTGATTTTAGTTTAGGTGCCTAGAAAAGCAGAGAGAGAACTTGAGTGTGGGTGGTTTATTTGGGAGATGTCCCAGGAAGCACAGACGAGGAAGAGGGGACAGGGAGACAGGCAGGAGAGAGACACCAGTAAGAGGTGTGAAGTAGAGAAGGTCACTGCTGTGGCAACACACTGGGGCTCAGTTCCAGTGGGGACCCTCTGAGAATCCACATGAAACACACCTCTGAATCATCTCACGGGAGGATGGAGGGACGGGATATTTATTGGTTGAGGGTGCAATGCCCTGGCGCCCCAACACATGCACACACTTCAGAGTCACACTTGCCTACCTGGACCAAGCTCCCAAGGTGCCAGCTAGAAAAAGCAGAGAAGAAAGCTACAGGTGCTGAAGGTGGTAGCTAAGTGTAGATGGAGAAGTGTCCATGTGGCTGCAGGTGGACTCAAAGCATCAGTAGTGTTTGCTCGACTCCCTTTGGTTTTTGCTAACTCTTTTGATGGGAATTAGAGGTGATAAGTCAAAATGAAATTTACTCTCTATGTATTGGTTTATCCAATCATTTTGTTTTATTGGTAAGTGTGGGGAAAAAAAGTACATGGGTAATATATTGGCCCTGACAGCAACAAACTCCGGAAACTGAAGTTAAGACTCTTCTAACAGAGCTTCCCAAACTGTGTCACATCATGTCCCAGCTAGTAAATGATAACACGTGTATAGCATGCTGGGGTAAAGGCAAGAGGCTACTCAGGGATGGAGGCAACTTCTCTGGGGCTCCTACCTCCCCAGTAAGCACCCAGCCACCCCCAGCATGAGGGGTCAATATGTCGGCACCCCAGTGTTCTGCTGCTAGGGGAATGAAAATGGTAAGAACCAAAACACTATACTAGGGAGGAAAATCTGTAGAAATGACCCAAAATATTGTGACATCGGAATTCTAATAAAAGGTGACCTGAAGGAAACATATTGGATTGTGACTGGAACTAAGACAACATATTTAGTAAAGGGCTCAAGGGAGCACCACATGGATTCAGTGCGAGTCAGTTATTACTTTGTGTTGTGATTACACTGTTTTTTGCTGGGATTCCACACTAATCTGTGAGCTCCTTGAATGTCAAGACCATGTTATCCTGTTCATGGGTGTATACTCAATGCCTTGCACAGTGCCTGGTGTTAAATAATAACACTAAATATTTATAAAATGTTTATTACTAAAAGTTCAAATGCATGGAAAATAAAATTATCACCGACACTCAGCTGCATTTACCAAGCCCATAAAAGTTATGACCCTGATTTTAGCCGCTTATTTAATTAAAGATGAGTGGCTAAAATTTTTTTTAATTTTAAATAGCTTAAAGATATTATTGTAAGTTTTAAAAATATTAAAACAGTATCAAAGGGTAGAAAATAAAAAGTAAAAGTTTCCCTTCCCTTGTTCCAGACACTCTATTTGATTCCCCAGAAGTAACCATTGTTAAGTTTCTTGCACATCTTTCTAGAAATTTTCCATGCATATAAGCATATATAAGTGTGATATCTCAAATGAATATGGCTTATGAAGATAGAAATTAAATCATTCTGTTCAACATCTGTATTTTTCACCTAACAATCACGTTGACATCTTTCATTGTATACGTAGCTTATTTTCAGTGATTTCGTGACGGTTGGTTTTCTAGGGGTCATGTGATTGATTTAACTAGTTCCTTTTGATGGGTATTTACTTTTTCTAATTTGGAGCATTATAAATAATTTTGACGGACATCCTTATACATAGACCTTGTGCTCATTGTATGAGTCAGGATTCTTTTAGTTACAAGCATCAGAAAGGCTAACAGAAAGTTAACTAACAAGACATTTAATTTTCTCACCTAAGTCTAGAAGTGGAGTTTCTGTATTTGGTGAAGCCATTCAATGACCTCATCAAGATCCTAAGATGTTTCCATTTTCCTGCCCTGCCACTGTCATCGAGTTGGGTTTTCATCCATTTGTCATTGCACAGTCTCAGAATGCCTGCCACAGCTGTAGGCTTCACACTGGTATCGAAACTGGAATAAAGTGTCTGGGGGAAAAGATTTATCCTCAGGAGTTACCAGCCCTCTCGGCAGTCTTACTGTCATTGGCCAGAATTGGATCACTGGCGAAGAGTAATGGAATTACCAACACTGATTTTAGTCCAATCACAATTCATCCCCTGGGATAGGGAGAGGCCTAACTGCCTTGAGGACATGAGGTCTCCACTTGCCACTAAACATAACATCTGGGTTCCCTTAGAAGAGAATAAAAGTGGAGAAAGTCTGCTGGGTAGTGAACCTCAGTGTTTGCCATATTTATTTATGCAGATATGTCAGTAGGAAAAATTCCTACAAGTGAAATTGCTAGATCAAAGCATAACTGCCTTTTGTGTGTGTGTGGTAAAATATATATAACATAAAATTTATTATTTTAACCATTTTGAAGTATACTATTAAGTGGCATTAAGTACATTCACAATGTTGTACAACCATCACCACTATCCATTTCCAGAACTTTTTGATAATCCAAGACAGAAGCTCTGTACCCATTAAACGATCACTCTCTATCCCACTCTCCCCTTACCCCCTGGTAATCTCTTGTCTTCTTTCTATCTCTATGAATTTGCCTACTCTAGGTACCTCCTCTAAGGGGAATCATACAATATTCATCATTTGAGGCCTGGCTTATTTCACTTATGCTAATGTTTTCTAGGTCCATCCACCTTGTAGAATATGTCAGGGGTAACTGCATTTTAAATGTGGAAAATATGATCAGGTTACCCCCTCAAAAAGTTGCGTGGTTTATAGTTCTAGCACTACTGAATGAGTGCCCTAGTTTTTCCTTAGTCCTATCAAATACTGGTTATAATTACACATTTTAAAATTTGTTAATATGGTAGATATAAAAAAGTATCTCATTTATAATTGTTTTTTAAATTATGATTGAGCTTGTTTTTTTTATTTTTAAGAGTTTTTTTTTTTTCTCCTGAGGAAGGTTGGCCCTGAGCTAACATCTGTTGCCAATCTTCCTCCTTTTTAATTTTTTTCCTTTTTTTCTCCCCAAAGCCCCAGTAGATAGATGTATGTCATAGTTGTACATCCTTCTAGTTGCTCATCAAGCATGGCTTGATGAGCGGTGAGTAGGTTGCACCCAGCATCTGAACCAGTGAACCTTGGGCCTCCGAAGCGGAGTGTACGAGCTTAACGGCTACACCACCAGGCAGGCCCCATGATTGAGCTTGTTTTATTTTCTGTTTGTGTCCTTTGATAATTTTGAATTTGGTCATTTTTTGTGATTCACCATAACTCTTCATGTATCTGTCTGTTTTGTATCTTACAAATACTTTTCTCAGTTTATCATTTGTCTTTTGATTTCTTCTATATTCGGAATTTTAAAAAATCATCTTTTCCTTTATGGCTACTGCGTTTTGCTTAGAGAGGCATTCCTAAGTCCAATATTAAAAACAAACAAACAAACAAAAAAACCCAAACCATTGTTTCTAGTTCTTTTGTATTTCATTTTCACATATTTTTGGTTCAAATGGAATTTATTTTGGATGTGAAATACCACTTCAACTTTTTTTTTTTTTTTTTGCCTAATTGTTTACTTTCTAGGGGCTGGTCTTAAGCTTTTAGTTTTGGAAATACCCATATAAGATCACGGAATGGAACTACATCAGGCGTGCTCACCTTGGATGAATGTTTTCTGTTGCAGTGACTGTGAGGAGCAGTCGTAATTTCATGGGATTTCTACTTCAGGCCCGAAGAGTGTCTGATCATCAAATAGCTGGCACTTTTGTTTTCATTCCTCCTCATTCCAAACTGATGACTTGTTTTGAAGAGGCTGACACAGTCACCCACTCTGACAAGTCCCGGAAGAGAAACCTCTCGTTCGAGTGGAAGGCCCCTGCCCAGCCTGTGGGGGACGTCAGATTCCTGTAAGAGAGAATGAAGTGCTGGTTCTTAGTAACTGAGCCTTCCACTTTGAAGTCAGGGCAGTTTCTCCTTCCTTCTTCATGTTCCCTGTTCCCTACCTCTGGCCACCTTATAGCAAGGACAGGGTCATGAGGGCTGCCCCAACTAGAGAACGTATGCAGAGGGTGACTAAAAAAATTTCCCCCAACTCTGTGTTTGTCATTACCCGTGGTCCAGGAGTGTGATTTCACCTCCTGGGTGCAGATGAATCTTGGCCAACCTCTCCAGGAAATTCTGACTAGAGGACAAAAGAGCTGCTGGTGGGAGAGTAGGGAAAGAGCTGAGAAGGAGGGAGACGGAGGCAGACAGAAATGCAGGCACTTCCCTGGGCCCAGGGAAAGTCACAGAAGTCTCTGTGCCTTGGCTTGTTGTCTATCAAATGGGTGTAGTAATGATAGCACCCACCTTGTAGGGTTGTGTAAGGATGAAAGGGCCAATATATGCAAAGTGCTTAGAACAGTTCCTGGCAGCAGTAGGCACTAGATAAGCATCATCAGTACTCAAAATGAGACACTTGCTTTGTCATTCTTTTCAGACGCTTACATTTACCAAAAAAATCTTTTTTTTTTTTTGCTCATGGGAAAGGGTGTGTGTTCCTCAGTTTCTTTTCCCCACACCCTCATATATGTAACAGGGAGGTTGTGTGTGCCTAAGGGTGGAGGCATCTAGACCACATGCTTCCCCTCCTGGGTTTCCCCTCTGTTTGTCTGGGGAACAGAGATGAGGTATGGGGCCCCCACCCAGCAGTGTCTCTATTCCATCCTTTCCTGGTGGCCTAACACAGCAGCAGGACAGCAAGGAGGAAAACGCTGTGCCCAACAATTTTGCCCATTTGGAAAGGCGAGTGTCCACTTAACTGTTGGTGTAACCCAGGTTCTGCCATCACTTTGGTTCTGATCCAATGCAGGGGATGTGTGCTGTTTGAAGTCTTTAAATCAGTAGTTACTTTCATTTCTCAAAGCACCTCCATTTCCATTTTCAGATTATTATCATAGCTGCTATGTGCTACACAGGAAGTAGTTTAGAAGCTATTATCTCCATTTGACAGCCAAGTTACTTGATCAGAAGCCTCTCCCAAAGTCACCCTATGCCCTCTCACCTCCTAGGATCCTTTCCCACAATAACGTTGACGTGTCTGAGATCTGAACCATGCCTCTTACTGGCACCTTATCTCTCTGCGTGACCTCAGCTAAACCAGTCATATGTTTATAACTGTCTTACTTAAAGCGAGAAAAATGATACTTACCAATAATCCCTACCTCAGTAGGGAAATTTTGGGGAGGATAAATGAGATAATGTTTGTGAAAATGGTTTTTACTGAAGAAAGGCATGTATTCAAAATATTATTTAGAGTGTTAATGATTTATCTCTAATTTTCAATAGAATCTATAATTATAATTAGAATTCTACAATTGTACAATAGAATTATAAAATTTTCAATTAATGGTGTAATTCAATTAACAATATACCAGTAACGGCTAATAATAAAGTTGAAAATGAAACCTTTGAGTCTAAACAGTTTTAGAAAACACCCTTTAGTCAAGAGATTTTTAATGACTATATTTATTTAGGAGGGTAATTGATTTGTACATATCCTCTCCTATTTTAATTATTTGCTGCTATTGAGTTTTGGTTTATCAAGAGTGGAGTCCCCTAAAGATAATACAGTCATCTCTTTTAAGTTCTTCTATTCATTTAAACTTTGTTCTTCTTTATCTTTTTGTTTGTTCTCTCCTTTCTATTAGCATGGTCTGAGGTATTATTTAAGGGAAACTAAATCCTCGAATCCCTCTGCTTTCTTTTTCTGCAGTTTATCAGTAGTCCAGTCATATTTCGTTTACTGGGCAAGGATTGAATCATCTGTTGTGTCCCAGCAGACACACAACCGAGCCCTTTCTGACGGCCGCGTGGAGCCCAGCTTACTGATGCCAACCCCTGGGCAGAGGCCGGAGGGTCTGGAAGGAACTGCCCCAGGTACAGCTTGCCAAAGTATTTGCTAGCCTAATTAGCATCATTATTTTTATAGTTATCTATTTACACTTAAAAGTTACTCCTGCCAGTTTCTGGTTCCTGCAACATGAGCAATAAACACCTGCCTTGGCTGACTGTGGCCGACGGACGGCAGCCGTTCTTGGGAACGTGATAACACAGCCGTGAGCAGGAGGGCCGTGAGAACGCAGCTTGCAGTTGCTGTGTTTGTTGCAGCAAACACACTTTGTCCGGCTCAACCTCACAAATTAAGTTGGGCCCTGGGGTAGACAGAACTGTGCTGCAAACCCAAAAAACAGCACACCCCTTCCCCCACCCCCACATTTACCAATCTCACAATATTTCAGCATATTCCTCAGACCCCTGAAGCTACACAGGGAGCGCAAGAAAGAAATGATCTTTTCTTCTTTTTTTTTTTTATAAAAACACATCCAGCTTTTATTGTTACTTTCCACGGATGGTAGATGGCTCTTTGCAGCTTGGATTGGAGAAGAAAATCAGGAATGAGAGGCTATTTTGATAGCAGTAGTCTTTTTCCTGGTTCACCACATGACTTTAGATTCCATCAGCCCATGAACTTCTGAAAAAAAAAAACTAACCAGCTAGAGCGTGTTTGACCTACATGAAATTTCCCGGTGATGTGGACCTCATTTTCATTACTTATTTCTAGTTAAATGCTCTGAACAGATGCACTTGTAAAGGCTCCGATCACTTGCACGGAAGATCCAATCTTTAATCCATTCAATCCCACTTTCTTTTATTTTTGGCTAACATGTTAAAGCTGGGATCTGATCTGAATCCCCAACTTTGCTCAGTCTAGCAGACCCAGGCACAAAGATAACCCTGGGCCACCCTCCATACTCTGCCCATGACCAAAATCTTCGTCTTCTCCTCATTGCCCAGTGCTGTTCCTCCAACCTTTCCACCAAGATACTCCTCAAAGCAGAGGAAAGATCTCAGGGTCTGAGAGTGTGGTCTGAAGAAGACCCTGCAAACCCAACATGTGTTTGAAGTCACGTGTTTATTTTATAAATCATGCAAATGTTGCATTCTAATCCCAAGCATGTTTGTTTTAATATGAATATGAATAAAAGTGAGGCTTCAGGATGTTGCATTATGTTGACCCTGCAGTCTCTCTGATGGTTGACCCTGCTGGGAACCTTGTCCCCCAGGGAGCAACAGACTCTAGTCTGAGCAGCTACAGGATAAACTCCTTAGTATGCTGCACACATCTCTCCCCTTCTGGCCCCAGCCTGTTTTCTTGCCCATTCCTCTACACAAACCCTAGTGTTTCCCAAAGGAAAAAGGACTGTGTGTGTGTGTGTGTGTGTGTGTGTGTGTGTGTGTGTTGGGAGAAGTGTCACCTAACAAAGTGAAATAGATTTCTTAACTGTAAGACGATTTCAGTAGGCAAATGTGAATTATGAAATTTCACATTGGGAAGATAGTATATTGTATTTCTCAAACGTATTTCCCAACAGACCCTTGGGACACTTTGGGGTCTACCTGACCCCATTAGGCATGATCTACTTTTATAGCTCCATGTTCTCCCTTCTGACATTTCCTCAAACTGAGCTGTTCCTCCTGATGATCTATTTATCTTTCGAGGGGTAGTTCAAATGTCTCCTTTGTGAAACTTTTCGCCATACTTCTTGGTAGGCAAATGTAACTTCTTCCTTAGTTCTGATTTTAAAGCTCTCATCACACTGTAATTTATAAGGTTGGGCATCAAAGAGTCCTAGATTTTGAGTTCGGAAACAACAGTAACCAGTCTGCATCACTTCTGCATCCCTAGCACCTATAACGATGCTCAGCACACAGTGGGTCTGCAGAAAATGTCCAAAAGTGTTTAGAGTTCAGGCAGGAGTATAAAACTGTCTGAGCTTTTCCCACATTCTGTGTGTCTGTTAGGCTTCTTTGTTTTTCACTTCAATCTCAACGTTTTTGAGTGATGAAGGCATTAGAACAAAGTGGCCAAAAAAAAAAAAAAAAAAGGATTCAACCAAACCCAGTTAGAGCTCTGGCCAGAGAAAGTTTTGTCAACATGCTTTTTGTGAACACCATTGTCATCATCCTAATCATCACCATGGTAAACCCTCAGTGCAGGTTGCCTCTGTGCCGGGCACTGTGCATCATGCTTCTACATCAGTGATTTTATTTCACCCCCTCAGCAACTCTAAGCTGTAGGTACCGTTACTGGCCCCATTTTGCAAAAAAAGAAACTGATGCTCTGGGAGGACTTGCCCCAAACCAGGCATTAGCAGAGTGGAGAATTGAACCCTGACAATAATCTGACTTCAGAGCCTGTGCCTGCTTACTGTGCTGTGTGAAGCTATTTCTAATGCTCTGGGCCGTCATGTCAGCCAGTCAGGAATGGGAAATGAGATGGCGGAAGGAAGGCAGTGGAGGGCGATGATCTCGTCTCTGCCCATAGCAGAGGCTAAGTTATTATCACCACTGGTAAAACCTTAGTGTGAATAACATGGCAAGAAAAATCTAGGACTTTTGAAAATCTTTGATTTGTGGGATTCTACTTTTTTTTCTAGCTAGAAGCAGTTTTTGGCAGAGGTGAGAAAAAATCAGTGGTCACACTGGTTTCTCCATTCCCTGAGTGGTGACTGTTAAGAATGCACAAGCTCAGAAGGGCCAGGGACCTACTTTTTAAAAAGATGTAAGAAATTCAGTCCTTTGCTGCTTGGTCAGGGGCTTATATTACTGGGCAGATCATCTTTTTGTTGACACTTTTGAGTGTCTCACACTTAACGGTCTGTTCTCAATGCACGTTAAAGTCTCTAGTATTTACCCCATTATCGTAGTTGTTTGTGCTAATCAATACGAAGAAAATTCCCTCACTGCCTCTTTGTGGTGTCTTTGGGTCTCTGCTTAGCTCCCAGTCTCCCCATCACTCTTCTGCAGCAGCGCACAGATGTCTTGGCTGTTGCCCTAACTGGAGCTGCAGAGGAGGACAGCTTAGATCCTGTTCCTGCCAGTTTTTGGGTGACAGAGTTTCCTGGGGGTGCAGAGGTTCTCTTTCAACCATCTTCACACACAGCTACTGCAGTCAGCAATGGCCAGCAACCCAGTGGAGACAGCAACCCAACCCTAGAACCATCCCTGGATGTCCATGGGCTGGAGAGGCTGGTGGCCCTCAGGAGATTCTCCTCAGAGGGTTTTGCTCCCAGCCCTAGCACCCACCACAGGTAATGGGCCAGGGGGTGGGCCGTTCAGTAAGGTGGTGGGATGAGGCCAAACACTGGGGTACTGAGGAAATGTAAACTTCTTGGAGTCTGACGGAAAAAGATCTCACCATATTTATTCTTAAGTGCCCAAGAAACCCTGACTGTAGAAAGGGTACTGGTCAGAATATGAAAATCACCTGAGGAAACTGTACTTTCTTAGGCAGGGTGAGGTCTCTGAGATACTGTTATAAAAATATATATATATAAATATATGTTTTATATTTTAGTTATATAAATTTACAATATATAAATATATGTTTTATATAAAATAAATAAAAGCATTCAGTGAGTCTTTTCTGCCATTCTCATTCACCTCTCCCCCTATCCTCCATTACCCCCCCAGCCCCCAACGCCAAACTCAGGAGTCTTTCCAAGGAAATCTGATTTTTTCGATATACACAGCAGTGGTAGGAAACATAGCTTTTTGATCCGTGTATTTAGTGACCCCTTCTTGGCCCTTCTATTCTTCCCTTTAGGACTCAGGATGATCCAAGGTTTGATTCATCAGAAACTTGCTTGCCATCTGATAGGGATGAACAGGTAACAGCCCGAGTTGTGCATGGGCAGTGAGGTTAGCATTTTGACCCCAGAGTGGGAAGTTCCAGGCTGGGAAATCAGAGCTGTTCGACTAGTAGCCAAAATTAGAGAGAAGGAGGCAAGGGTATGATATACACACAGCATCTCTTTACAAATCAATACCAGCCTTTCCATTATACGCGGTGTCTCTGAAGTTATCGGCAATTGTAGAAATTGATGGTTTTAGTGATTTGTTTTCCCACTTAGCTTTGGTTAATGATTCCTCTCTCCTCCCCACCCTCCCCTCTCCTTCATAACATTGGCCTCAAAACACCATATATAGTCCCAGAGGTTAAATCAATGGGCAATTTAAAATATACATGCCCACTGATTTACTACTCCTTTGAAGTCTTAAAAGGGACACAAAACATTGTCTAATATTCTTCTTCAAATTTATCGGAACCTACAGCAAGATTAAATGGTCCCTTTTGCATGAGTCCTAGCATAAAAGGACACTCAAAGCTTTCAGCCACTTGCGTTGACAATCACCATATTGGTCTGGAAGCCTCTTAGAGGACCCTAGGTTTGTTCTTGTAACTGGCCTCCATGGTCTTTCTGTGGGGCTTCCATTAGCCACCCCATCCCCATTTATCTACTTGGGCATTTTACTCTGAGCTCTTGTAGGAGAGAGCACGAGGCTGGGTTTTCAGCTGCTGCCTGGGATTCTTTAAGGAAAACAGGTTAGTTGTAAAGTTCAATGGCAGCTTGGGGGAAGGCTAGCTCCTTTGACTTCTTTTTTTGTTTGCTTTTCTAGGATGAGATGGAGATCTCTAATAAGACCGTGATAAGGCCTCCTCTGTACACTGTCCATCTTACCTATCCTCAGCGCCTCTGGTCCTCTGAAGCACTCACTGGAAATGGGGCTGGGGCAGCCAACCCAACCCCTGTCTTCCACACCTCTGCTCCCAGGCTACCCACTGCTGGTGGCCAGTCAGAGGTGTCAAGGCCCTCTGCTAGCTTCTTGCCTCAGTCAAAGCACAGGGAGCCCAGAGTGGGGGAGGGAAATGGAGAGGGTAGAGGGGGATACCCCAGGAAGACCCACCCAAGGCCTGAGGTTGGGCAAGAGGGAGCCAGTGCCCCTTCAGGGATCCAGCTCAGGACTGCCCAGCTGGGAATCCTGCTTTGCCTTTCGGCCACCTTGGGCATGGCCCTGGCTGCTGGCCTTTGCTACCTCTACACCCAGTATTGCCGCAGGCAGGCGGAAGTGTCCTTCAGTGAGCCTGCCCAGGATGCCGCTGTCAGCAGCGACAGGGGTGAGATTGTGCATGTCAGGAAGATCGGGGAGAACAGTTTTGTTTTGGTTGAAGCAGAATACAACTGGACCACTCCCTCCCTGGGTAACAAGAAGACAGTCCTCTGAGAAGACCATTATACCAGGCCTCTCAGCGGCCCTGCGTAGACCCTGTAGAGCATCTCAGCCGGAACAGAGCTAATGAGAATAGCTGATCAGGACAGGGATGCACTGTGCTCCCGTCAGTGAGCAGTGAGTGGAGGAGGCTGCGAAAGGACAGTTTATCAACAGAGGGAGTTCTTCCCAAGCTTTGTTCTCTTAACATCTGTAATTTAGCTGCTTTTTTTCTTTTGCAATTAGATGTTCTGTTTGAAGAGTTAAACTCAACACAATGAATATTGTATAACCTGCTCATTAACTAGACTCCTGTGGCCGCTCTGAACTTCCTCTGTTGCCTTAAGGAACCCGCAGAAATAGAAATTCTGTCCCTCCTCAGTGTGTTAGCCTCATCTCCTCTAACTCTTTGAAAGAAAGCAATGTTGGGTTGTGTTTCTTGCAAGAAAAAGAACTGCAGTCTTCACTTCACCTCTCCAAACCACCCCAAAAGGAGTTTTGTTTTCAAAAACTGGAGTTCAAAATTGGCTCTGATTTAGTTGCCTAGGTTAGAGCTAGGGTATTCCGTCTTCTTGGAAACTCAAAAGCCTGGCAAATCCACCATGGAAATTGATCTGAAGCAAGGAGAGGTTTAGAGAGCTTGATTGAACACGTCTGTGGGAAAACACATCCAAGCAGCATCCACACCAGAGTGGGGTAAGCAAGCCTCTCCATCAGGTGTAAATGGATCTGAGGCCTCCATCCATTTACACTTGGTGAGAGGCTCTGTGTCCTAACAGCTAACAGACTGCCTTTTGCCAAAGGTCAGGCTGAAAAAAATGATGATACCACACAGTCTGAAGAACAGCCTCTGCTCATCTTTTCAGGAGGAAAAGGAAAAAAGCATCAAGGACGAAGATCATCCACCTGCTCTTCTGACTTTATGAAGATCACTTTGATTTAGCAGGAGTCCCATAAATACTCCAAGAGGTCAAAACAACAGGTTTGAATATAACTCTTGCATATGCTCGCCTAATATGACCCATTGGAGTTAGCTGCCTTTTTGGAGGTAAACCTATTCCAGAGTCATGATCCATTTTAATGTGGAAACAAAAACCACTATAAATTCAAAAAAGGTATTTATTGATTGAGCACCTAAATCACACCTGTGCTGTTCTAAGAACTTTACATATATTTTCACATTTAACTCTCACCATAACTTAATGAGGAATAAATTCAGTAACTTGCCAGAGAGAGAGAGGCATTCATGACATCTCAATTCAACAAGATATTCTTTTTTAATTGAGTGTGTAAGAAAGAGACAATTCCTGCTGTTTTTACAGCCCCTATTTAGCTCGTTGGGCGTCAATTCCAATCCATCTCTTCTCCTGGATTCTGGGTGATGCAGATCTATTCCCTGGCTTCAGTCAAGTGCCTCATTAGGCACATGGAGACCTAGGTAATTGTGTGTTCACAATTGAAAGTGTTCTAGGAATGCTGAGGAAAGAAACAAATGTACTGTACTCCAATGGGGGCCACATCCCTACTACATACCCAACCCTCCTCAAAGATATCCTCCCCAAGGTGCAAACAAGGGCTCTCATAGTGAAGAGCTCTCATCTGGCCACATCAGAGCCAGGTGCACAACATATACAACACCTTCAAGATCTTTCCTGTCCAAGAGGATATGTCCTGTGTAAACAGACTGTAACAGTTTGTTCTGGTTATCTATTGCTGTGAAACAAAATACTCCAAAACTCAGTGGTTTAAAACAACCACTACCACTACCATTTATTATCTTGCACAATTCTGGGGATATCTGGGCTTAGCTGGCCAGTTCTTCTAACTCGTGTTGTTCAATGCGCTGGAAGATCCCAGATGACTCGCTCACATGGCTGGCAGTTGGTGCTGGCTGCTGGCTAGGGAGTTCAACTGAGGGTATTGATGAGATGGGAAGCAATTTGGTTCTCCTCTTCGTGGCTTCTTACAGCATGGTGGCTGGGTTCCAAGGGGAACTGTTCTAAGCAGACAAAACCAGAAGCTGGAATCTCTTAAGGCCTAGCCTGGGAAGTTACATGGTTTCACTTCTTCCACATTCTGGTGGTCATAGCAAGTTCCAGGGCCAACCCTCATTCTTCAAAAGGAAGGGCAATAGATTTCACTTTTTGATGGGAGAAGTGGCAAAAGATTTGAAGCTATCTATCTTTAATTCACTACATCTCTGTATAGACTGCTGACCTGCTAGGGGACTTACGTGAGAGCAGGAGAAGCTGTTCATCCCCAGGAGATGCCATTGGTCACCTTCCCTGCAAAGCATCAAACAGAGTGAGGGAAATGTCCAGACTTTAGGGTTAGGCATTTCCTCTTCTCTAGCTGGGAACTCCAGCTAAGGCAAAATAGTGAAGTGACGCAGAAGAGTCTGCCAGACCTCTGAGTCTCAGCTTCCTCATCAGAGAAAAGCAGATCACAAAATTACGTACCTCTTTTGGCTGTTGTGAAAATTAAATGCGTGTTCAACACTTAGCTATCTCTGCCTACCTACCTACCTACCTACCTACCTACCTGACATGCCATTGTTATTAACATCATCCTAGAGCTGCAGCACTGTCTTTAAATCTAGCCCATTTAGAGAAATTCTGTGACCACCAAAAAACATTCCCTTTTGGTGACAACTTCTGCCTCTGCGGCTCCTCCTTCCCCAGCCCAACACATGGAGGTGGTCATCACACTAGTTGTCATGGTAGCCGCTGGCTACAGTTCCTGCTGGGGGTCAGACACTTTTGCTGAGACATTCTGAGTAAGCTCCTTTTTGGCAAGGGCAGCTGGAGTCCGTAGGCCTGTAGTTGGGAGACATAAAACCCCTCTGTCTGTTACTGCGATCTTGAAGGTCCTCTAAGCTCGGCTTCAGAGAAGCCCCAGAGGGGAGTGAGTAGGAAGTGTTAACTTGAAGGCTTTACTGAAGCACAAAGCCATTAAAAGTTAGAAAAACGCAAAAGAGTCAGATGCAACATCTTAAAATAGCTTTTTTTTGCAGGAATCGTTCAGCCAACCACTTCTTGGAGGAGGAGGTTTGAGGCTAAACACATATTTAAGGGAAAATAACAGGAAAACAGTTGCTGAAAACTCTTTATATTTAGAACAAATGTTTTCACATCTATTGTGTTAATTTAGTAACCACAGGTCAGGGGTAGGGGCGAGCCTTAACCTTTTTACATTCAGAGACTATTTTTGATATTTCTAATTAATTTCTCCCCTTGGATACAACAATTTTGGTAAATCACAACATAATGCTTAACTGGAGCCTGGCTGAGCTCCCTCACTGTCGAGGCTGTCTGGATTAATTTGCTGTTACAATGTTTGTTTCCTTTAAAAAAAAAAATCTAATTAACAACAACAAAATAGGTCAACAAGCCAGTAAATATTTAAACAAGTGTCACATTTTATTTGAAAAGTTGTCTGGGAAGGGCTGGCAATTTATGAATAAATTACAGATAGCACACCCTTTCCCAGTCTTGTACTTCCGGCATTAATCAGTGATCCCAGCATTTCTGGAATGCAGGCCTTGTGATTTGATTTCATTCACTCCAACCTATCCTGCTCTTCTAAAAGTGGTGTGTGGCGAGGAATTTCTTTTATTCAAGTGAAATGAATTTGCATTAATTTGTTTTATTAAACTTGAGAACATCTTCAGAAGAACTCTGCTCCATCCGGCCTTAGGGCGTTGCAAAACCAGTCATAGCGATCTCTGGTTTGGAATAGCAGGAGGGCCTTTATGATGAAAGGAAGGCTAATGTTTTGTTTGTTTGTTCTGTTCTTTAAATGCAAAAAGAAAATTTTTTGCATTCCATTGACAATGATGAGTGGAGCAGCCAGCACAACTGAAGCCTGTCAAATGGTTTTTGGTATTTTTCTGCTTTTAAAACAAATCAGTTTATGCCCCACTGTCTCTCACTTCTCTAATGGCTTCCCAGCTGTCTCAGAATAAAATCGGAACATCTGATTGGCCTGACCAAGTACCACGAGACCTGGCCCTCTGACCACCTTCTTCCGGGCTCCCGCCATTCCCTGTGCTGCTATGAATGCTCCTTGGACGCTGTGCAGCTCCCCTTAGCTCACTTGCTTGGGCTGTCGTTTTTGCCTGGAACCCCATTCCTCTGGACGTCCACAAGCCTTCAGAACTTTGTTCCAGTGTTGCCTCATCAGAGAGTCTTCTGGCCATTGCAACCTCTTCTCACTCTCTGCCCATCCCTGCTTTATAATGTTTATAGCACGGATTACTTCCTGAGTCTTAACGTAGTTATTTATGTTTTGTGTGTTTTCTGCCTCCTCCTGACTAGGATGCTTTATAAAGGCAGACACTTTGTTTTGTTCATTGCTATACCCTTTGTGCCTGGAATTGTTCCCAGTGCAGAGTAAGTAATCAATAAATATTTGGTAAACGAGGGAATGAAAAGTTCAGTATTTGTGTTACTATCACCAGCTCTTGGTCTAGATTGAAGTTGCTTGAATGTGTAGCACCTTGGGCAGCTCCAGGACGCTTGGGCATCAAGCAAGGAAGGTTTCTCTCTAGAGGTGAACTAGAGTCGCCTGGGCAGGGAGTGTTCTGTGTCTCAGCTCCAAGGCTCAGGGGAGTTCTTGGCAGGGGGGAGCTGAGAATAGATTTAACCTCTCAGTCTGAGCTGGGGCAGAAGGAGAGCTACATGGGGTCTTTCCACCTCAGAACCTCCCCTGTGAGCATACTTGCTTCAGTTCACGTAGTCTGGCACAGAGTTTCTCAGTCTCCACACTCTCAACATTTCGGGCTAGACCATTCTTTATTGTGGGGCTGTCCTATGCACTGTAGGAAGTTGAGCAGCATCCCTGGCCTCTACCCACTAGATGCCAGTAGCTCCATCCTCCCTGGTTGTAACAACCAAAATGTCTCCAGACAATGCCAAATGTCCCCTGGAGGACAAAACCACCCCCATTTGGGAACCACTGGTCTAGTAACATAGGCCCCAAGATGAAGCAGCATTTCCTAAATCATTCCCACACTCAGTGATGGAGTGGGCAGTATTGAGATAGAGAACTATAGGATTTAAAAATTGGAAATGGCTTTCAAGATCATCTCAGTGGTTTTTGAATTTTGAATTTTGCCTATTGGGTGCAACAATAAAAACTGAATGCTCTAGTGGAAGTTTCAGGATATCTTCCTCTTTTTCTCCCCCATTCTCCCTCTCACCTCACCTTGAGATATCAGGAATTTAGAGCTCCAACAAGCATGGATTAAAAACCGTTAACAACACCTCCTTTTTACAGATGAGGAGAACAAGGCCACTGAGAGGTCACAAGCAAATAACAAATTAGAGTCTTGGGTAGTCCTTGGATTCCTTCCTCCCATCCTGAC